TGTCATCGACTACATCAATAAGTGTATAGATGATGTGACAGTGGTCAAAACCATCAAGAAACAAGCCAACTAAAAACCATGGCTAACCGGGGAGGTTCGTTCTTTGCTGAGGACTCAGAACAAAGCCTTGAAATCTGGGAATACTGCAGCTTATAGTCTAGCAAGGAAGAACCTGTCAAAGGGGATTAAAGAAGCGAAGAGGCTGTATGCACAAAAACTGGACGGCCACTTCAGGCAACAAAGACGCACAACGGCTGTGGCAGGGCTTCCAACACATTATGGACTACAAGCCCCCTCCCCTGACATTAAGGCGGAACGATCGTTCTCCACCAGACGAGCTGAACAATTTTTATGCACGTTTGAGGCTAACAGTACCACCCAGGCACAAGCACTCCCACTGCCATCAGGTGACCAGATTTTTCAGCTGTCTACAGCTGAGGTGAGGAAGGCCTTTGCCAGTGTCAACCCACATAAAGCAGCGGGACCAGATAACATCCCTGGATGTGTTTTAAAGGCCTGTGCAGAGCAGTTGAAAGACGTCTTTGCAGACCTCCTCAACATTTTGCTCAGACAGTGAGTTGTGCCAGCTTGCCTTAAGAGTGCCACCATAATAACAGTCCCAAAGAAAGTCAACCTGGCATGCTTAAATGACTTCCGGCCTGTGGCCCTCACACCAATTGTGAGTAAATGCTTCAAGTGGCTGGTCTTGAAGCACATCAAGAATAGTCTCCCAACAGACCTGGATCCCCTTCGGTTTGCATACCGAACCATCCGATCTACAGAGGATGCTATCTGCACCACACTCCATGTTATGCTGTCACACCTGGAGAGGAAGAACACCTTTGCCAGAGTCCTTTTCATCGACTTTAGCTCAGATTTTAACATGATCATTCCACAGCAGTTGGTGAAAAAGCTGATGCTATTAAGCGTGGACCTGGCAACCTGCAACTCGGTTTTCAGCTTCCTGACAAAGTGGCAACAGACAGTCGAGGTGGGCAGCCAAACATGTAAGACCATCTTAGTGAGCACAGGCTCTCCTCAGGGGTGTGTCCTGAGCCCGCTGCTGTTCAGCCTGCTCACTCATGACTGTACGGCCAGATTCAGCACTAACCACATTGTGAAGTTCGCAGACGACACAACTGTGGTTGGTCTCATTACTGACAACGACGAGTCTGCCTATAGGATGGAAGTGGAGCAGCTTGAAGTGTGGTGTAGATCCCACAATCTCACCATCAATGTGGACAAAACAAAAGAGATAGTGATCGATTTCAGAAAGGCTGGCAGAGATCACCACACTGACCTCACCATAGATGGTGC